GCGAATTGGCCAATCAAATCTCTTAAAATCTTCAATATAGCCTTATAGTGAAGTTGAGATCTAAGACATAGAGTTCGTTATAACAAGAGTTGACTGTAATAGGTAAATTTTTTAAAAAAAAAAGTATTTTCAATTCTAATTCTATTAAAATTTCTATTATAAGATTTTCTTCAATTATTATTTCTATTTTTCTAAAAAATTTGATAAAAGAAATATATTATTTAAGAAATAGATCAGCACTCAATAAGATGAAATGATCAGCAGACTATAATTAATATTATGGGTTTTGTTATTAATAAAAATAAATTTTCTGAAATTTTGTGTTTTTTATTATATAAACTTATTTAATGAGTAAAAAAAAAAGTATACAATAACTCTTTTAATTAAAAGAATAATTTCAGATAACTTACATTATGGAATATATGCACAAAATTGGTGAGAATCAGACAAATTTGATCAAATCAGTATTAATCTAATATCTTATTGATTATTTATGTCTGTTAATTGTTGTCTTAACAGTAAAAACTTTGCAATAATAGTTCTTAATTATGAAAAAACATAAAATTCATGTTTTTGTTATCTTTGTAATGATAAAGATTCTTAAATTTAACTATCAACTTCTGCAGCTATTAACGATATATACAACTAAATTTAGTAATAAAATAAAATATTTAACTATTATAGAATTTGATAATGAAACATTGTTTATGAGCTAATAGCTAATATTTTATTTATTTCAATATTTATTCATTTAGATAAATATTAATTATAATCAGTCAAATTGGTATTTCATATTATGAAGGATTTTATGATGCTGATTTAGGATATCTTTTTATACTTATAAACTTATTAGATAAAACTTAGAGGTTTTGTAAATCATCTAAATAGAAAAAGGTAAAATTTAGTGAAATTATATTAAAACCTTATTAAAAAATCTGCAAAATTCTAAAAAAAGTAAAACTATATCAAAGCTTATAAAAATGCAAAACTATATCAAAACCTTAGTAAAAATTAGTAAAACTATAGTTTAGATATTTTGCTAAATTTAAAATGAGTTTAGACAAGCAACTTTATACACTTATAACAAAATATGCAAATAAATAATCACTTTTTGTACAATTCATAAAAGATGAATGTAGTTTAGAAATTTATAATGAAGGTGTTAAATTATATTATAATAAGAATATTATACCTAGTAAAATCTAGAAGACTATTAGTATTTATAAGAAATATGGTTAAGCAGCTTTATTTAGAATTATTAATTTATACGTTTAACAAAAATTGAAAGAATTAGAAAAGAGTAAAAATTTAACTATTTATATAAGTAATGATTAGAAAAATATTGATATATTAAATCTTATATATGAATAAAATATAAAATCATGCAAAATTATTACTAGTATATTTTTAAATTAATCAAGCTTATTTATAAATTAGTACAAACAAACTAATACAATAATTCAATTTCCTACAATTTTATTTCAAATTTATTCAGATAATTATCAATTTTAAGAAAAAGAATTAGACGTCACAGGTAAAACGCTATTAAATCGGGCATAAACCTGATTGATAACTTTTGAATAAATCGGTTTGCCAGATTTTTACTATAAAAAAATCAGGTGTTCCAAAATTAGTAATCAATAGGTTATATACCTAATAAATGATATATTAAGCTCTACAGATAAAAAGCTTATCAATTGGGTAATATACTGATACAATCTTGATCAATAACTATTCAAATAATTGTAAAAAATCTGTATATATTTCAAACTGGTAATTAATCAGTTGATCGCCCGATTATTATTCTATATGATAAAACGATAACAATCATAGAATTACATATGAAAATATCTATTTATTGGAATTACTGCCATGTAATTATTAATTTTTCTTGATCTCACTGAAAATTCCGCAGGAATAAAATGACAATAAATGTTGTGAACCGGTATGATTGAATCTCTAGCAATATCAAAAAATTTATGTTCCCATAGCTCTATATTGCAACTTTTTACATCATTATTATCAATTCAGCATTGGAATCTTATTTGATGATTATGAACTGGCAGAAACCATCTAACATAAGCTAGACAATATGTATGTTTTTTATTAGACAATCGGATTTCATGTTCGAAGAAGTATTTAATCTGCCTGGGATACATTTCAACAGTATCATTTTCTTGCACAAATTTGGCAAGAATAAATGAATTTTTTGAATATTTGGTAAAATTATCTGACCCAAATATTTCAGCACCAATCCGAATTCTCCCATATTGATTAATTCTTGGCATTACAACATTTGGACGATCAGATGTGCTTGTGCTCAATTCAGAAATGGTCACAAATTTTACCTCATATGCATTATTATAATAATCTACTAAACATTTATATATATTATCCGGAAGGTTCACATTCATTTTTTTGGTAACAGCATCTCTCCAGAATAATGTTACTTTCTGATAATTGTTTCTTCGATTTCGAGATTATAAATCTGCCTAAATTGACTAAGTTTATCAAACCCGAAATTATCATACATTACCAAACTTTCTGAAGTTGCCCGTAGTTGTATCAATCTTAAGCCTTCAATAAGTTTCATATTATCTGACTTACTAGATAAAAGATCGTCTAATCGCCAACTTTGCATAATAATTTGTAGTATTTCTGGTTCTATTTGACGATGTGAGTTAGGGTACGATCCTAATTAGAACAATAGAACAACATGCATAATAAACATTAAATTAGTAATTTAACTTTAGTAAAAAATAAAAATTGATATTAATTGATATAATTTACCTAAAACACCATTTATTCTTTCGAATAAATAACACCAAAAAGAATATAAAGGACCGTAATCTTTGCAGCATTCAGATAGATGGAGGGAAAGATGGATGTTTGGCGTAATTACCTCTGGTCCATAATTTTCCTCTATTAGAAGAGCAACAAACAACAACCGGATATGTGCTTCATTTAACATTTGTTTGTTAATTATTCGTGATACTAATAAGTAACATGCTTTAACGAAATTGGCCAAAATTTGTTGATCAGTGTTATCTAAAAGATCCCACATGATCAGCGTTGCGTAAATCATAATGAATATCTTTTACTGATCAGCTGTAAACCCGAAAAATCCTCTACTGTTACTATTTTGTAAGGGATTCTTTCTAAATTAGCTGGTATTTTTATTTTTTTGGCCTGTTTTTCCATTAGCTCAAGGTGTACTTTGGAAATTTTACCTCTATCAATCCACAACTTCTTTACAATCCAATGAGCAATTCCCAAAAATAGGTTATGCATCAGGTCTACAACCAAATGCCTTATTAGATCGTGATAGGGTAATCAGAGCATCTCAGACCATCTGACATGAGTCTTTCTAATATGTTGTATTCTATTATTCTTCGTTTGCTTATGTTTTCAGAGATTAGCATTATTCTGATGTTCTGATGGATCTTTCATTTTAAACCACTCGTTCATATCTTCAAATCCTCTAAAATTTGCTCTCTGGCCTTCTTCTCTATTAGATCTTTTATAATATCTATGACATCCAGCTAATGCTGATATATATCCGCACAGCTTTCTAGCAGCCAGAATGTTATTACTGCAACAGATTATAGCCATTCTGATACTTTTACCATTAGGATAATTATTTGTTGGTAATGTAATTTCTTTTCAGAATTCTAAAAAATTGTCAATTATAGGTGCAAGAAAATGATTTATTTTGTGAAGTTTCGGCTCATTAGGACTGCTAATGTTAGCATATTTTCTTTCTTGAACCTTATTTCGCGAGGTAAGTTACAAATCACGCCATATATTACGCCACTACTATAAGTGGCCAAATCGAATGGTTGAAACCAATCCAAATTAATCATAATTCTAAGATTGGAATCCACAGTTTCGGGAGAGAAAAATAGTGGAGGGTTTGGTATGTTTAAACTTGATGGGAAATTTTGCCAAATTTCTCCATCATAAATATTTGACATCATATTGGTTCTAACATCTCGTTCAGTCCATTTTTTCAAAAGTTGTTCAAAATCTGATCTTTGATACATTGTAATCACCTGAGTTTTTAAACATGGCAAGGGATATATCAATTTTGGGTGCCAAACATGACCTTTAACTACCAGAATCTTCTTTAATACTTTTGATCCACAAGCTTTATGTTGATTTTTCATTAGATGATTTGGAAACTCAACGTGAGTACATTTAAATCCATTAAAACTGGTATGTGTTGAATTGTTTGGAATTATATTATTAATATTATACAATTTATTACAATCCGAACAGACTGCAAAAGATTTTGACTTTTTAATTATTTCTAATATTTTTCATGCCATAAAGGAAATTGAAGGAAATTTCTTGAATTTATTTGAATCAACATTTTTCAATACAATGCTGAAAAACCCGATCAGTGAATTAGTTGCAACTTCTGATAATTGGAATCTTTCTTGATATTTAAAAATCTATAAAAGTATCCAAAAATTGTCATAATCCAAATTTGTGTAAGAAGTTGTTTCATAATCAAAGTCGTCAAAACTGGGAGTTGTGAACAGGTCATCTTCGTTTGGCATATAACCATCATCTTCTAAAGTCATTTCTTCGTCAACTGAACCCTCTTCACCGGAATAATCAGATGGTATTTCATGCTGGTCTATAATTTTTTTATTTGATTTTTGATAACGATCAACCCTTCTTCTTTTATTAATATCATGATCTTCCTTATTTTCACTAGATATATACAAATCATATTTAGTAAGTGGAACAACTTCTTCTATGTTTTCATTGTAAGGATCTATATTACTAGACGACGACCCTTCTTTAATTGGATACAATGATCCTTCTTCAATTAGACTATCTTCCGTCTCAAATAGTTAATTAGAATGCATACAGAATGATTCCAATTGAAGACATTCTTCTTCATGTTTCTTTTGTGTTCTTGGATCAATCATCTTTCCGTCACATCTTTTGCAATCACATGAAACTTTGTTTCTAGTAGTTGATAAACGTTTTTGCTTTTCGAATGTTTTTTCATTTTTTTATCATAAGAAAATTTATTTACGATTTACTTTATTTATAGGAAAAAAATATTAATATATGAATTGAATTAAAATCAAAT